GTTGGATGATAATAGTGAGAGCAGATTCTGTGTGGGGAGAAAGAAACACAAGTTCATATAATGCAACAAATATACAGTAGTACTGTACATATGTTGCATTATATGAATTTGTGTTTCTTTCTGCAGCTGCGCTACCATAAAATTTCCCATTACTAATGTAGGAGGTAACTACCTCCAGGATAAACTGTAATATTAGAAAATCACATATGACTCCATAAATGAAAACACCAAACAATAATGGACTAAGAGGCACATGGCGAGCTTTACTTCCAGGTTATGTCTGTGTTTTATTGTGTGCTGAGACAATTTAACCTGAGCTGCAGCTCACTCTGCTCTGCAGCACAGCTAAGGCTTCACTCAAGCCTGATAAAGGTAAAAAAGGTGTTTCTACAAAAAACTCCTTATCTTTCAAGTTACAGTCAGCATCAGAAGACCTATGTAGGCCATTTTTGCTGTGAATTTCTGTGCTTCTCAGTCATAGATCTGATGGATTATGACTGAGTAAGTATTGAATAACCCAAATGAAAGTGGGTCTTAAAAAGGTTCTCCCGCATGAAGTCTCCTTGGCAAGGGTTGGTTAAAATTTTCCTGAAAGTGGTCCAAAAAGTCTTTGGTACCAAATCTGCATCAATACTGCTGTTTGTGTAAGTTTTAAAATAATTTAAAAAAAAACCCAGAAGGGTAGAGAGGAAAAGTTCACTCTAAAGAGGGATGAATCTCTTTCCATTCTTCCCAGCCACTGGTCCTACTATTTATCCCCAGTTTCAGGTGAACCTTAATCTTGAGAGCCAATTTCATTACCAAAGAGTGTTTGTAGGTAATGTGCCAACCAACCACTGTGAGGCTAGCTTTGTAGTCTAATATCACAAGATCCTGACATCTCTATACACAGTGAGGTGATATCAGTGTTTGGAAAATGTACTAGCATTTTCCTATGCTGACATGACTCTTGCAGCATTTGCTTTGCTCTGTGAGCCAGGTACATAGAATTCCTGTGCTGTGTCTCCAGTAGAACCCTGCTGCTGCCAGGACTGCTGTAACTGAAAGAAGTATTTTCCTACAAAAAAAATCCTCTTACTAATGTTTGTGCATTATATTATACTGTTAAGGATACATTTGCTCTAGAGAAACTTTTCTGGCTTTATTAAGCTTACACTGATCTACTCAGTCTAGTGTTCTTAGAAGGGATGTAAATAGGACAACTTATAAATCTTGACAACTGTGAACTTTGCATGAGTTTGAAAATGAGCATTTAGGTTGTCAGTTTGATGGGGTAAGGAAGGTATAGTAATCTTCTTGTTCTACATGAAATGTTTAGTGTATGGGATTGTGGCCCATGTCTACGGTTGCTAGGAATGACAGTACTAATAGTTTATTTCTTTGTTTTAACACTGCTTTTATATAAACCTATTTATAACATGGGACTCCTCACATTCCTATGGCATTAACAACTGCAAGGCTACAAGCACAAGTGTTTGAACTGAGATACCTGTTGCTCAGCCACTGAAATACCGTTGTCTGATACTAACATTGCTTTGCAGATAAGGGCCCTCTTTCAATAGAGCCCTGTGGAAATAGTAGTTTCAGAAGCAGAGACACACAGGTGCCCTGTCAGAGTTACCGAGATGGTAATAACTTTTACTGAGGGATCAGAGAAAGATGAGGGCCACATTGCAGCACTTCTTGGAATGGCCTAAGCAAAACATGGCAGCAGTCACTCTGAAGAAAACGGGAACACATGCGAATTACCCATGTTATGCACTAAAGAGCTGTAGAAACACCCAAAAAGCATTGGAGGTGCCTTTGTTTTTTTCTGAATGTCAAGCTTGCTGTTGGTTTTATATATGACTTCAAGAAAAGTACTCTTTGCTGCTCTGTCTTACCTGAGAATGTGTGAAAATTTACTCAATGTCGCATGCTGTGATGACACTTTTTAGTCCAGTGGTGGATGCAAAACAGTTTCCAAAAGTATGGAAAATGAGACTGTAACCTGCAAAACATAGGGACTAAGATCCCTGGCAGTATGTGAAAATTGGAAAGATTGGCAACTTGTGACTGCTGCCTCATGCAGTACTTCAATCTTGACTTGCAACAGCCTTTTATTACACTAGTTCTTGACCTTCTTTGCAGGACCACCAACAGTGACCAATTGCTCAGCAGTTTTGCAGAATTGCTTGGACAGTCAGACCAAACATTTTCACTTGTGACCCGAGTCTGAATTTGAGCTCGAGCCCATGGAGGTGAAGAGCTTGTCTGTTAACTCACAACACCGCTTGCTATTGCCTTTGCCAGCAGGCTCTATGAACAGCTGCTGTTGCACGAAAGGCCAAAGGGAAGCGCCTCAGTTTTGCCCTAGTCCTTTCACACGTCCAAGTCACTGGAACATACCCAAGTGCATGGTAAACTGTAGGTGGTCTCTCCAGTGCAGAAGAACAAGCTGTACAGTTGACTTCAACTGAAACATGAATCATCTCAGTCCTAAATTATTTTAATCCAATCAGTTATCTGTGTTAAAGGGTGTAAAGAGACAGCAAAGCGGAAAGAATGGCTGCCAAGTAGAGGCTACAGCATACAAATAAAGCTGCTAAGATGAGATGAAATATGAACTAATAATGATTTATTTCAAATGCCACTGGGGTTACAGTGTGAATCACTTGGAGAGATATTCAGGTGAAATGAATTTTGTAGGCTTTTCTCTGAATGATTTTCATAGTCTCAGTAGAGGTGAAAGGAAGGCAAAGCTGTTAGTTACACAGGGAGTATACACAAGAGTTTTGAAGTGCTCCCAAACAAATTCTCCCTAATTAATGTATGCTTTTCAAGCCTCTTGTAAGTAGATGAGCACAAACAGCTGTAGTTCTTTTTATAGATACAAACTAATCTCTAGTACATATTGGAGTTGAAGGATATAGAGAACAACATGCTGCGGATTCGTAAGGTTTTTCTAGCCTTGGAAGTATTCTTTTTATACCCTCCAAAAGCAGAAGGGAATGCAGAAGAGAGCAGAGTATAATCTTCAAAAATGCTACTTGAGAACAAAATCATGACAGGAGCAAAGGGTCTAGCTCTTAATGACACATACCATGCACTTCTTATTAACACATGAAACAGCGTGTGTGAGTTTTGACCTATTTTCTTGACAGGTTCAGCCTTTTGTGACCCGTGTGAAATGGGCAGCTAGCATTTCTTCCCAGTTTTCGCTAGTGTGAATGGCCTTCATGACAAAGGATGGGAAGAATTACATGCTTCGTATTTTAAAATAATTTTAAAAGCCTAAGCGATAAATCTTTATAAAATTCCTTAGACTTGATGAATATCTTTGAACATACTTCCTGTTTGAAGATGATATGCTTTCTCCCTTCTTTTTCCTTATTGCTAGCTATATATATTATCAGTTTAATATTGTCCTCTGCCTGGAGACAATATCCGGTTGTGGTAGGTGAAGGGAGGAACTGTAACAGCTCCTTTCCATCTCTGATGCCTACCATTTTACTTACATAAAAACATCCTGGATTTTGAACAGTTTGTTTCTTCTGGCAGTTTACTACCAGCCTGAATGCTTACTTTTTCAGATCTAACATTTGGCTGCTGCAGAAGTCATTATCACCTCCACTTTTAGTTTTAATAACCTTCCTTTTAATAAACCTTAGTTCGAAGTAAGTTTCCAAAAGTTTGCTTCAAAACAATGCCCCAAATCTTCTGGAACTCACTGATTACTTTTTCCCCCCTTAAAGGAATAAGCTGTTAACATTTTTATTGATTTTATGGCTTTTTCTGATGTGACATAAGGAAGAACTGATTTACTTAGGACAAAACGACTTGCTGGGTTTCCTCCATTATTGCAACAAAGGGAGAACTACTGGAGGACCCATGGGGAAGAACTGTTTCAGTAGCTCTTTGTGTCCTGTGCTTTTGGGCTCAGAAGGTATATATTCCCACTGTGGACTGACTATACCTCATAATTCTTGTGATATAGACTGCTAAGGATTGCAAATGAATTCTGACCATTTATTCTTAAGTGCTAGAAGGAGCACCAGGGAAAAGCAGAAAATCACTATTTCATAGAACTCTTTTCCTTTCCTTTCAGGGGAAATAAGTACAATCTCATGGATTTAGTCACTGTGGAAAAAAAACCTCAGCTATAAGGATGCTGCTGTTTAGAGAAGGGAAAAATGAAAATGCTGAAGTGGGGATGGTGTGGATTCCACACATCTCTAGAACAACTATTTTTGGAGAACTAACCGTTCTCCTCCCAAGATTTACTTTAGAAAAGCACATCTAAAAGTAAACCAGTTTAAGGTATTAGAAGGCAGATATATTGACTTACCCATAAGACATTTCAATACCAACATTGCTTTGAATTCTACATTCTTCTCATGAAACCTGCTAAAGGAAAGTTGGAAGGATTTCCTAATGCTTTCCTATAGCTCTGGGGAGGTTAGCTAAGAGTGGGTTAAATTGGTCTCTTAAGTGACTGTTGGAAAAATAAGCTAAGTATGGAAAGGACCATAGCCTTGTCCTCAGTGTGATTACTTTCTCTTCGCCCAGAATCTCAGAAATTAAAATAAGGATCTGAGACCTCAAATTACTGCTCAAGTGTATTGCCTTTCAATTGACTTGTAGAAGAAAATGAGGGAAAATGTGTCATTAACAAAAGAAGGGAGCACTGACTGTGTGACTAAGTTTTAATTTGGTTGAGGAATTTCACAATAATGAAGAAACTATCTTCAGGAAGTAATGTACATTTTCCCCCAAATCTTTCAGCTTTAGCTCAGTAATAGCTTTGAAGTTAAACTACACTAAGAGAACGAAGGTCAGTTTTGAATCTTATACTTCCCTTTCCTCTCAAGTTAATCCTAGGAGGATTGTAGGTAAGATCCATGCAGTGGTGGAATATACTTGAGCAGAGTGAAAACCAAGTGGAAGAAATTGTTAATTGTTTCATGAGCTGTGTAAAGAAGAAATAATAAAATTACAGTGTGACCCAGATCAAGAAGTGAACCACTGGAGAGAGTTCTGGTGCTGAAAAGCTTACTCCCCTTGCTTTTATCCTGGCTTATCTTGTGTTGTGTCTTTGTAGGAGCATTTCAGAACAATGTAGGAAGGTATTCTGGATTCAGCTGGTCCATAGTTGTTCCAGAGGTATTGGCTAAGGTGACGTTCTGGCTTGCACCACTCACTTAGCTGTTTGACTTCTTGTTCTGCTTGTGGCTGTTGATCTTAGGGTACAGGAAACCAGAGTTGCATCCAGAAGGCAGCTCTACTCCTTGGACATTGCTGTATGTTATTGTAATGCTGGGTATCTGGGCTGCAGATGGTCCGTGGTGAGACTCTCCTTTTCTTTGTCCAATACCATTCAGGCTCTCACCTCTCTAAAGGATGCAAGGATTTCAGAGAAATGGAAAAAACAAACATCTACAAGGAGATCAGGTTGCATCATCTTTGTAAAAGTGGCATATATTTAGATAAGGCGATCCCCACGACTAATTCAAAACCAAACTTAAACGATGGAGGAAAAGTAGATCTGAACATTTTTTGAATGTTTCATGAATAACTTATGAGAAAAAAACCTGTTAAGTTAATATACTAAAGCACAGACTTTGAATTTGCTACTTAAGAGCTGGTCTACTTTGGTGAAAGACGGGGCTAATGACAGCACATTGGACTATGAACAAAAGTGCTGTGAATATGCTCAGACAGTCTATGGATTCAATGAAGTAAGGAGTCCCTCCATGAAGAGGGACCGTTTAGGTTCATTGGGGCAAGAGGTGAATTAAAATGTAGTGATAACAGCATGGATAGTTTGAAGGGGGAAGCAATGAAGAGAATGAAGTGAAAACAGGAATTGAGGGAAAGATTAATTAACATTTTTTGACAATAGCAGTGCTGGCTGTCACTTGCACAGGACCAAAAAATGAGTGTTAGCAATAGCTCATAAGGATCACTACTAACAATAAAGAGATAATTTGTTTATATTACATTGGGGTTAATAGTGCAAAGATAAAACTGGCTTATTTTCACCTGTCAACTCTTTTCTCTTATTTCCTTATCTGTCAAGAATTAAGGCAAGTTGACTCTCTTGTGGCAGATGTCAAAAAAATTTTATCGGTATGCCGTAGCTTTGTTATATGGAAGAAGAAATAGACACCAGCACAACATCTTACTGAATAGGTGATATGTCATGTTTCAAAAACTTACCTTGATTTCCTCCAAGTTGCATTTTTTAGATGTTTGGTGCTACCCAAAACAGAGAACGTACATTAAATAGTTAATAATGTCACTTTGTACAGCAGTACTTGCCACAAGACTATGACTGTCTCAGAGGTACAGCCATTGGAATGGCTATCTCAGCTTACTGTGTGTATTATTCATGTAAAGATGGCACAAAATTAATGCTTCCATGCTCCACTAAGAAAATCACAGACCTCATCAGGGGACCTACTGAATTTACGAAAATATTCAAGTTCCTTGAAGAAGTTGGAGTTAAGGAGAACCCAGTAGTACATCTGTTCTCCTTCTGCTTAGATTCAGCAATGATTTACCCTTTGTGGTCATGTTTTCTATATTCTGCTGGGATTATTGTGTGATTTTTGCATCTCAAAAAATAACTTAATTTGTGCTCAGAGACTGGGATTGTCATTAGTTTTTGTTCTCTCAGTTAGTTAGACCCATGCCAAATATTAAAATAATAATTCTTACAGTAAGTGTAGCAGTGTACTCTGTGACATTCAGTTCCACCATGGATATGTCATCAGCATCTACAGCTGTCTGAAAAATGAACACAGATAAGAAAGACATAAATGACATATAGGTATGTCATAATATTTTACATACATGAAATGCAAAGTATAGGAAAAAGAAAAAAAAGGGGACAGCAGAGGACTGACTGAAATGTGATATGCTAAAGATAGCCTTGGTTTTTATCTCTCACCATATGTGTTTGATAGCAAATGGCGAGACAACAGAAAGATTGACCAAGTAATTTGGACAGTGAAATACAAATATTACTACACAGACACTTAAAACCAAACACAAGACAACATACAATTCAGATGCTAAATTCACTAAAAAAGCACCGTTGCTTGTCAGAAATGCAACAAAGACAGCTGAATAATGAACCAGGCTGGAAATAAAAAGCTGGTGATCTTTTATAGTCTCTAAGTCATTACTCATTGTGTTAACTCATAGGTTATCTCCATCTTCTTGGCAGGAACCTTCAAGATTAATTATGATAAAATGTGCAGATTTGTTAACCTAGCAGTTGTCAGAGAGTCTAGATATTACGCAGTCTATTACCTTCTCACAGATCCCAGAATCATGGCGCTTCAGTTTAGGTTTGGCTCTTATGTCACTAGTTTGAGTTGTGTCTTTACCCGTTTCATAGGAAATCTGCCTGCTAGCAAGTCTGGAGAACATACTGGGGCTATCAGTTTCTGTGTCAGTACAGCCCTAAAATGAATACAGCAAAAACAATCACACTAGGTTCCTTAGACTTCCGTCCAATTTGCCCCGTGAAAATCAGTTTTACCTAGACAGAAATTGTAAAAGAGACAGGCATTGTATAAAAGACATTTCACAAAAGTTATGCCATGTATGACTTCATAAAATCTTTGCTTATAAGAGGTACAAAGAAAACTATCAAGTCTGTTGAGTCTAAAATTTGGCTTACTTTTTTTTTTTCTTTTCTCCACAGGTTGTACTGCAAATTTCAAACAAAATAGTGTTTCGTTATAGTCTATTGTTGAAATTTCTGTGATGCACCTCGTAGCTCTGAGGAGACAGTGTTTCCATAGTAGTATCGAATTAGGAAGCACAGGTGTTTGAAGGAATTAGGGCCAAAGTTTCCAAAGTGGCTTGGGTGGAATCAGAAATAAATAGAAGGAAATGTCTGGGGACTGCAGAATCATTCCTTTAGAAACATTTTGTTCCATAAAGGAGCCCTGATTTTATAAACTTTGTTCCAATTAAAGGGAAAACAAAACAAAAAAAACCCCCCAAAACCCCAACTCACCAGAATTTCCTAGAAGTCAAAAATTCTGTTCCTTTTCCTCATTCTGTCAGCCTTTTCACTACAATGAGGAAGAATCACAGAATTCCACAGATTATAATAAAAGAGTGAAACAGCTAATGGGGTTGTGATGAGCAGCTCATGGCAAACCAGCCTATTTTCTGTTTGACGGTGTACCTTGCCTTAAAATGGGGGAACATAACAGTGCGATATACTTACTTAAATTTTTTCATGCAGCAAGGGTTTTTCATAAACAGTCTATGTGCTTTGGATGTAGCGTCCATCAGATGAGAGTATATAATTGCTTGAAAATACTCAAAGCAGTTATTGATACTTTCAATTATTGATACTTTCAATTATTGATACTTTCATAAACTTTTCCCAGGGAAGAAAATAAAAATAAGAGGTGTAGAAAAACATGAACTTCGATGGAACTGGAGAAATTGGCTTGATTAGTCTGTTACTATTGAGAGAGAATTGCAATTAGTGATGCTACACCAGAATTTTAATACATAACAGATTGATTGCTCTAAGGAGGATCAGGATCATTTTTTCTGTGTAACTGTGGGGAAGGATAAGGGGAACACAGAAGAAGGGGAAGGAAAAATTAATTTGGAACAGTGACAATCAAGATTGTATTTTCAGAAGCAGCTTTCTAACTATTGGGGAACTAGTGATGAAGATGAGTCTACAGAGTGAAGTGTCTCCAGACTGAAGTGTCTCCATGGAAGATTTTTTAGAAGAGCGTAACAAAATATCCAGGAGGACAATCTAAACATATACACAAGAGGTTGGGGTAGACTATTTTCTGGATCCCAACATTTTAAAAAATGTGTACTGTGCTTCCCATTCCATGCATAGAGTGTATTAGCACTTACAGTCCCATTTGATTGAATTATAAAATGGAAGCAACTTTATTTTCTGAGGATCTGTTCTGGAGCTTGGCTCCTTTTCATTGCAAAGAACTGGCTGGAAATTGTTTCTTTAGGATTTTCCAAGGTGCAGAGCATCTTTGCATCCACAGGAGTACAAAAAAATTGCATAAAGATAATTTATTGGCTTACAGTTTGATGACCAGCTTTGACATAAAATACATGGCAGCATATGTACTGTCTTTTTGTATTGTGAGTGTATGTCTGGAAACCTTACAGCTTAATTGAGCCACATATGGTGCAAAAAACCCCAAAATAAATTATCAGTGAACATCGAAGCAGTTTTATTTGTTTGTTTTAAACTTGAGCCCTTCTTTCTGCTCTGTACTTCAGCTAAACTGATATTACTTACTAATAAATCAGAGCATTCTATGGTCAAATCAAATAGTTAAGGGAGACATACATTCTCGTCAGAAAATCTTGACTCTATCATTGTTCTGAACAAGATCCAGGCTTACTCAAGGCTTAGAGAAAATTCCACACTGAAGCATGCCAATTGCTTGGAATTTTTTACTTTAGGTAATTTTCATTCTCCATTCCAGTGTTTTACCTCGAGTATTAAGAGTGCTTTCCTAAGCAAAAAGAATTGTTGAATTGTTTGTATGGTTCCCCTTCCCCAGCACTGATAGTAGTACAAGAACACACAGTGTTACTGAAGGAGTCTGTTGGTTTTTTAAGAATCAGAATTCACAATGTAAGAGATGCAATATAAAATGTTCCTTTTTTATTAGCCAGTTTTAAAACCTTCCACCTGAATGGTGGCTACTAGCCAGAAGAATTTAATTTTGATTGGACTGAAAAGTCAAAAGAATATAGAGTACAAAGAAACTGAAAGGTCACTGTTAAAAACAACTGTCACAATTTAGCGCTTGGCTGAATTAGACACAATTATTACCTTGACTATGAAAAAGAATCACCAAGAAAATGATGGCTTTTCATATATTTGGAAATTTCATTTAAAACAATTGCAATGAACTAACTAATGTGCTTAGTTAGTACTGTAACTTTGGCTTGCAAGAGGAAGCCTAAGATGCCAAATATTTGCTCTGTTTCCAGCTGTTATGCAAAACATTTGGTTACACTTAGACTGGCAGAAGGAATCTGTTGAGGTCTTCTGTGAGAATGATTCTGTAATGGATTTAGTGATTTGTCTAAATCTGATGATTAATATGTTTCCAAATACAGCCCACTTCACTTTCAGAAAGCATTATCTGTTTCATTACAACCTTGCTTTCACTAGAGAACTATTTAGTGACCAGCAATTTCTTTTTTGTATGTGTCCAGACTCCAAACCTGTGGTCAGACAAGTACATCCTAGAAGTATGATCAGACTTTCAAGGGAGCTCTGACTCTAAGCTTTCCTTACTTTCTAAAATTCCTGTTGTTCCATCTTTCCACTCTTCCTTCAGTGTCACAAACCATCAAGAATACAAAGATTTACATTCTGCTTTTACACTTCAGCCTTCTGTCTTTTATTTCACTTTGTCCTTCTACTTTCTTTGGAGCTCTTGTAATAAGCACCATAATGCATTTCATCTAAAGAATCTACCACTTTGAAGGACTCTATCTGAAAATGAATTACTTTGCAATTAAAAATGGATGTATGGGAAGTGTCTCCCTTACTGATTCACTGTCAGAGAGAGAAGACAGTCGCCTTTTTCCTTTCTTCAGCCCACTTAATTCAGAAGACTGGCTGGTTACCGTCGCTCGTCTGGAGGAGGGATAACTGCTGAAAGACCATGAGTCCTTAGGAGAAACTCTCAGCAGGGGTCCAAGGCAAGGAACATACGTTGCAATGGCTGTTCTAATGGATGAGAGGTAGAACCAGTCAGATTTTGTCTGTTAGCACAAAAATTCAGTCATCATAAACAATGCATTTATTCAGAGAGTTGAACTAATGCTGTATGGACTGGAAAATTACTGGGTACAAAAAGAGTTTTCCAGATATCCAATATCTCATACACAATCACCCTGCAAGATCACTTATTCACAGTTTTCTGCAGAACTCAAATTGATTGCTTGGCAGGGATAAGGGCATTAAAGTAAAACTCTTTGAACTGAAGGGAGCTATTAAAATGATGTTTTATCTGCTTTCAGCTTAATCAGGGCAAAAATAAAATTCAGTCCCTTTAAACTGAACCTTGCAGAAGTACCACATAATGAATTATTTTAATCTTCCCCTAAGCAGCTATTCTAGCTTCCTCTTACACATCTGTTTACCGGCTATCTGTAGAGTTGTACAAAATGTGCAGTTATATTACAGCATTTCTTTCCTCATATGCAGCGTAAGGAAACTGTCTTGCTTAGCTTTCCTCTTCCTCCACTTAGATGTTCATGCCCATCTCTTCTCTATCCAGTTCCCCAGCAGGTCTTTGTAAAGGGTAAAATAACAGCATATATATATGGCTTTGCTGCCATCCATCGGATCTCACAGCCTGCGTCTGAACTTGATATGGTCATGACCCTAGATGTTACAACTCAGAAGAAATACTATCTGAAATATGAAAGCTTGAAGAAGCGTGGGGAGGACGCACAAAATAGGGAAGAGGTGGATTGACTAACTGAATTGCATCTCTCACTGGCCTGATTAATTTCTGCTGCTATCTGCAGCACTGACAAATGTCTGCGTCTCTTATGAAGGTAGTTAAAAAATTTATGGTGCTTTCCTTTGAGGTGGGAAGTTCTCTATCTTTTATCATGCAATCTGTAAGTACAGATCAGTATCCATAAACACCTCTAACTCCCATCTGCATAGTAATTTGTTCGAAATACAAATTCCACTGACATTTATATGGCATTGAGAAGTTTTCTTGGGGAGGGCGAGGCTATCTTGCAGAGGTAAAATGAGCAGGTGAAGCAGAGTTCAGGTACTAGTCCTAAAAGTGACAAAGTTCCTGTCTGATTTTCTTTGCTATTTTAAACATAGCTTGTAAGAGTGAACTTACCTGTATTTGGGGTGAGTGATGGCATAAATGATGGGGTTGTGGATGACAGAAGCTTTGGCAATCACAGCTGGTATGGAGTTCATGAAGGGGGTTAGGACGTGGGAATACCTAGAGTAATGCAAATGCATTATATATTTAGTATTGAGTTCTATGTAATCTATGCAGTTACACGCTGACAAGACAATGCTTTATTAGTGCTCCAGAGAGAGTAAAAGGGGGAGTTCTGTATCCAAACAGTGATAGAACAAATTTTACATCCTTTGCCTGTGAAGATCAACACCAGCCTAATCGCATTTCTGAGAAACATGATTTTCTTGAGGCTTCTCTTGCAGCACTTCACTACTATGACTCAGGATGGTGGTAATTCCCATGTTGTTTACCCTGGGGACAAAGTCAGCCTGCAATAAGTGAATGTGCATTCATCAGAGTATCTATCTGTTCCAAACTCAGCAAATATACTTGCCGAGTAATATGTCACTAAATAGGTGTGCAGAATGAGGCATTATAGAGAAAGATAACTAATAAATCTATTTTCCTATTCAAACTTTATTTTTTGCCTGGTCTGAACTAAAAAGTGAAGGGGAAGTATTCTTCTGAACTAAACAGTGAAGGGAAAGTATTTTCAGGTGTCACATGTTATGCTCATGTGTTACTGTGACCATGCATATATGCAGGTGGTGTGACTCTAAAGGATAAAAGAATTATGATTGATGCTATCGGCCATGGTGCTATCAGCTAGTTAATTTTTGAAGATAGCTTGAAGTAGCCCATAAGGCCTTGGTCAGAAGAAAGTCAATAGAACAGCTCAGACTAAAATAACAATGACATTTCATAGTCAGTTTCTACCAGGCAAATTCTCCATAGACCTGCTTAGAGGCTATGAAGACCACTTCCTGCACTGGTAGAAAGAGTTCTAAGTGAAATGGCCCAGTAAGTCAGTCTTTCCTCCCAAGGATAACATCCTTTCTTTATCACTGCTCTTCTTCCTGAGAAGGCAGTCTAAGCTCCATCTTTCAATTAGCCTTGTATTCCTATAATATTATGGGAGAAAACAGGTTTTCCTCTCAATCCTCTCTCAGAAGAAGGTCTCTCATACAAGTGCTGCAAACAAACAACATAGAGGATTGCGTAAGTAGGTGGCAGCTCATCTTCCTGGTGAAGAAATTTTTCATCATACTGTGGGAATATTTATGCTCTGTGATGAGGTGGAAATGATTTTGCCAATGGTAATACAGGAATCATTTTGTCAGCCACCTGAATGTTGAGTTGCCATTTCACCTCTAATTTAAGGCTTTTCTCTGATAAGCATGTTCTTCATATACAATTTTTAACATGGTTTCTCCTAATCATACTTCTAAAGTATTGGTTAGAGGTGTAATTCTTCACAGAGTCTGGAGAACACACAACAGTATGACCTTACTGAAATGGGGTTTTTGACCCTGAGATGAGAGAGAGAGTGCTTTGGGAAGACTGATGGAGAGTTCCGCTAACAGAAACAAACAATGACAAAGGCTTTCGTTTAAGCTAACCATTCCCAGAAAATACAACCTGTAGACCAACAATATTAGTGAGCATGACTGTGTGCTAACTCAGTATTCCCCATCCAAAATAGTTTCTAAAGGAATTAAGGTTCTTCCTTCATTTTGTGTATGTTGTTGCTCTGTCAGATGAGTTGTCTTTAGTCCAAGACTATAGCCACAGATTCTATGTCTTTCTCCCATATGTGGCATGCAGTGATTTTATCTGAGTTCATTGTAATAAAAGTCCACAGAAGGCCTCCAGGCTTGGTCTATTAATCTCTGAAAAATCCCAGAAGGATTGCTTAAAAGGCATAGTTCAGAAATGGAAAAAAAGCTGAATGAAGCTGTGTTGCTCACTGGATGTCTTCATGAGCAAAATTTGCAAATGCTTATTTGTCATATACTGTAGAGTTATAAAATTGTCCATTTGTTCAGACTTTTGTCAGTGTGAGACATGGGCTAGAAGTCAAGTTC